AAACAGCTGTCATGTCGGGGACTCTCCCTCTGGTATCTTTCGTCCCTCTTTTATAGCTGACTATGCGGGGGCTTTTCTCATTATTGAGGGCATTATGATGACCTATAGTTGTTAATTTCTGTGTCATTAAGTCTCATGGCAATCATAATACATATTCTTATATATATATATAGCGATGTCGTTATTACTACATAGCTATGTCGTTATTACGACATAGTGATGTCGTAATAACGACATGTTATGTCGAAATTACGACATAGCGATGACGTTATAACGACATGTTATGTCGAAATTACGACATGATATGTCGTAATTACGACATAATGTTTTTTTTTTTAATAGCCCTTATCGGCTTCCGTAACCAACCGCTGGAGCTTTATAAAAAAGTCATAATTGTAAATCAGTAGTGAAGATATATCGTAATGCATAAAATATGTATATTTATGTATGTGTAGTTCAGTCATGTTCAAACTGCTTTTTCTTTTCTTTCTATGGATAGATATATGTATACTTGATTATTGATTGGTTTTTTTGTCTAAATAATGTCATATATTGTAATATGCTCTTTGTGAGCCCATTTAAGAGGGTGGTAAAGGGTTATTTTCGTGCAACGTGATCACCGTTTTTTATTTCACGTTCAACGTGTTTTTACTTTTTTATTTGACGTTCAGTCGTGCAAGACAGGTGCCTCGTTCAACGTGTTCTGCTTATTTAATTTTTACGTGCATCGTGATTTTCAAATGCTTATTTTGCGTGCTCGGTATTTTTCAAATAAAATTCAAACACTTGACAGGGATCGTCAAGAAATACATTTTTAAAAGCCTTAAACCATTTATATCATAAATGTGTTTACTAAATCGGGAATAACAATTAAAACAGAGAGTTTATATATACAAGAAGACAGTGACTCAGTCACAAAAGGTTCACATCAAAGTCTTTATTTTTCGTGCAACGTTCATGACAGAAATTATTTCACGTTTTTTCCGTGCAAGCACCCCCCTTTACCACCCTCATTTAATGGAAATAAAACGTCTTCTAAAAGTTGTCAATGAAAAACACCGTAATACAGATCACTTTTTCTTCGGTATAGCATGTTTTTTTTCCTGGTCTTATTTTTAACAAAAATATGCCGAATTATATCCTAAAACAATCATGAACAATAGATTTGTAGTGAATGGTATAATTTTTATGGAAGAAATCATTGTGAACTATTTCTTTTAGACGGGTTTTCAGTTTTTCATGTGGTATGGTGGTGTAAAGGGTGGAAATATCGAAGGTTTTGATAGAATTTATTTCAGAGAATGACAAAGATTTAACATTTTCCAGAAGTTCTTTGGAGTACTAAGAATGCCACTACAGGAGTAAACAGTATCACAGTATTTCTGTAATCCCTCTTTCACCCAAACTCATGTGTGCTGGTTATGACCCCACTTTCACTGTTCAATGACGGCAGATCTGAAACACATTTGAGGATCACATTAGATCATAAGAACGTGGATAACCATTGACATAGCCTTAGGCATGTAACTGAAATACTCTGCACAGCCATTCATGGTTTTTCAATTACAACAAAGATCGGACGTATATTTTTATTCTATTTTATTGGGTATAGTCTAAACACTCTTTAAACCCGTCATATTTTTCGAACTGGCTATTCGTAAAAATAGAACAGGTAGACAAGAACTAAATGTTGCCCTTTAGATGTCTAACTATGACCGTTATTTCAGTAGTTGTGTTGCTGTCTCATTGACGTTACCAATCATATCATGTGAAGATTTTTTTTTAGATTTGTGTCAAACTCCATCTTAGTCTGAATTTGATAGCAGTCTCAGACAACATGAACTAAACTGCTAGCTTTGCTTGGAAATAGTACATATGTTGACTATTAAAGTTGTTTATGGAGCCCACACGTAAATTTAGATACAATACTAATCCATGTAAGACTTTATCAGAATTGATTCGTTGTTACTCCTGTCCTGGAAAGGCGTTCATATTTGTATACAAGTTTACCAAATATATGTATAAATTTTCACATAGTTGTTCTCAAGCTTACACATCATTACTAATCTGTTGTTTCTTTCATTCCTGTAGTGTACCGGTACTATTATGCTACTAACTAATGAAGTGTTGTGATATATGTTAGTAACATAAACCTTGCTGCCCCTTTTTGAACTATCTCCAGTCTGTGGATGTCATTTTGTTGGTATGGGTCCCATAAACTGCGCTGGCATATTCCAATGTAGGTGTGACAAGGGACATGTATGTTTTTTTCTTTACTCGACTTGTTGGAAATGTATACATTCCTTTTAAGAAAACTGATGGTATTATTGACGTTGGAGCATATGGTGCTTATGTGTTTATCCCATATAAAATCTGATGAAATGGTACGTCCCAAGCACCTATCTGATGTGACATGGTCAAGATTATGGGCATGTAATATGAAATTGTACTTAGATGGACTTCGCTTCTAGTGCCATCGGAATACCTTTACATTTATCAGGATGATAAATTCAGCCAGGTTGTCAAGGTCCCTTTGTTTATAGGTTTGCTGCATCTGTATCTGATAAGATTGTGACATAAAAGCAATAATGTCATTAGCAAACGGTCGTACGGTTGATTGAATCCCCTCATGCATGTCTATTATAAGATATATTTTTATGTATCTTTGATAAGTCGATGACTATTTAGTAGTTGGACTTTCTTAATTTAAGAATTGTACATAGGTCTATCGCCTTCTGTCGTTCATCATGGTGCTACATTGATCCTACACTAGTTAATAATAGAGTACATATGTGTCCATGCATCTATGGCTCGACTTTACATTTTACTTTTCAAAATTTTTTGTCAAGATAAGTTTTCCAGGCAATACTAAATCCCTGGGATGTGTTTTAGTTGATTTTAGTCTCTGATGCATGATTTTTTATTATTAATTGTTTTGGCTTTTAACTAGCTGTCAGTAACTGCGAGTACTCTCAAATCGTACTTTCTTGTTTATTTGACCTGTTGATACTAATTGTATTGCTTTTTTGTTATTTGATGTTATTCAGGGTTATATCTGGTCTATATACCAGCTTTGATAAGTGTTTGGTATAACTATAAATTTTCACTTCGTACTATGAACATCAAAATTATTTATTTTGTAAAAATATTTCCTTTCTCTATTGGTACTGTACACGTATACCTAACAACAAAATTATTTTCATTTACCTGTGTTTAAAGTTATTGCAAATGGCTGATATTTTTGTTCGAGCATATTGTTTTTCTTTAATTGTTTAACATTTCTTACCGATATAACATGTTACTTTTATTATTCTTCCCTTAGTTTATTTATTTTGTATTTACATTGTGTCATAGGTCAAATTTATTTGTTCAGTGTATGTTCAATGGTGTTAATATGTCCTTTGATTGAGTTAAGCTATTTCAGTTGATATTTTATAGTGTGTCTTTCTATGTTGTGATGTTACACTATTGTTTCAGAAAAAGGGTGAAGGTTTGGTACCATTAAAACGTTTAAACCCGCTGCATTTGTTTGCACCTGTCCTAAGTCAGGAATCTGATGTTCAGTAGTTGTCGTTTGTTGATGTGGTTCATAAGTGTTTCTCGTTTCTCGTTTTTTATATAGATTAGACCGTTAGTTTTCCCGTTTGAATGGTTTTACACTATATATAGTAATTTTGTGGGGCCCTTTATAGCTTACTGTTCGGTGTGAGCCAAGGCTCCGTGTTGAAGACCGTACTGTGACCTATAATGGTTTACTTTTATAAATTTTGACTTGGATGGAGAGTTGTCTCATTGGCACTCACACCACATCTTCTTATATCTATGTAAGTATCGGGATATGTCAGAATCAGAACGCAGGAGTTTGCGTCATTTATCTCGGACTTGGAGCGGTCCCAAACACTTACAGTAACTCTTGGATGTGGGCAGGGTCGATTCGAAAGTTTTATGTACACTTATTTGTTTGACTAGCTATACGCCCTGCTTACTCAATGAAAGGCCGATATGTGCATCCTCTCTGCTTTTCTTCACAAGGCATACAGGATACAGTGTACCGCCATCTGCCTAATCTGATTCTTATTTTCCCGCGACAGGGCAGTATATTGTATTGTCTATATCTGTAACTTGAGTCTTGATTGATATGCTTGTAACGAGCACTATGATTAGGAAAATAAAATAATAGTACTTAGTATATAAGATAATGCCATGATTTTTCATAAGTGGAAAATAAGAGCACAGCATCGTAAACTGCACATTGACAGAATGAGCAAGAACACGCTAAACGAATGACTATTATTTGAAAAGAGTGGTTCATGCCCTGAAACGTCAAGATTTAAAGCCAAGTAGTCACTGGCTCTATTAATTTAAGAATTGTACAGCCTTGCATTGTGAATTATTGTGCTGAAACTGATCCTTTACACACGAAGTGACATTGGGAACAACCTTTTTTAGTAAATAAATACTGGGTCTATACACTTAATACTAATACAAATCCTTTCACTGTTCTCCTAGTCGGTAATGTCTCAAAATCAGACAAAATTAAAGTCCATTACACTAAAAATGTCGTTTAAAACTATAATCATAAACAAATATTGGCATAAATTCAAATTTGTAAACTATTTTGTATATAAATAAACTCATCATATTGTCAACAATGTTAAATATATGCCCATGTGCAAATGTAGACTAGTGATGAATATTCTCATGATTCTACTGTATTTATAAACAATATGCTTCTTATATTCAGTTAATTTTTTCAACGTTCTCGATGTACATGGACGGTAATATAATGCATTTCTTTCTCCATTTGATTCCCAATCATTCAATTTCTTAAACCACATTTAAACGTGCTGCAATACACATCATCTTACAGAATAAACACTAGAAATCCACGTGCAAGATCAGCGGAATACAGTCATGGAATGCATGATCACTTTTATTTGATTGGTCGACACTCAGAAAAAAGAGTTTTTCATTGGCTTAGAAATCCCCGCCCTCACCCAAATGATGTATTTTGGAAATAATTGTATATTCACAACGAAGGAAGGCTTGTGTATTCCTCTTATTTCTTACATCAGAAAATTATTATAAGATACATTCAATGTGAAAGGTAAGCGATGTTTATATGTTTTAAATTTATTTTATTGTCTTTCATGAAAAAAACAAATGTGTCTTCTGTTATGCTGTTTTTCTCTCGTTTTGTCTTTTTCATGAACTGGTTTTGTTTCAGTGTAAACAATGTTTGTGCATGATTGCTTTACATGTATTCACATGTTATCTGTCGAAAATAAATTTCTTTTAATTCTATTAGTAATAATTGAACTAAAGACTTTGTTATGAAAGGTCTTCATTGTTTATCATGAGGAGTTATTTCCCCTACTGATCATGATTTTGACAGCTGATCGATCAAAGTGCAGTTCGACACAGTCGTCATGTTAGGGCACTTTACAACAGAAAATAATTTGCATAAAAAGTGATCTTATGACATGATGAATATATTGTTATTTGCTGGCGAAATAATGAAGCTTTATAAAGAAACATGCTAATCCAGGTTAGGGGGTGTGTCATTGACCTAATTGTGTAATTTCGGTCATGAACTGGTTTCACCCATTTTCAGTGCTATTAATTATAGAAACAATACACACAGCGTTTTGAATGCTGAAAGTGTTCTGTAATAACTTAATTTAATAGCTTAAATTTATTTCACATACGAAAAAGTACAGTGAATAAGCAAATGCTACTAGTTGAGATAGCAAATTTGGACGGTGTCACGTGATAGATAACTTTGGGGAAACTATTGGTATATAAATAGAAACCATGTGTGTTTATTATAAATAGAAATTACAATTACAATTTTTACAATTTTTCAACAAGTTTTACTCTTAACTTAAAGTGCATGGCAGGACCTAGATAAATAACATTCAAATGCCATTTTTGTTTCAGAAGATTAAAAGCTTTGCACTTTTTGCCAGGTTGCAGGAGATGGTAAATAAACTAACACTTGAGGTTAACCTGATAGTCCCCTCAGTTACACCATTTAAAGTGCAGATATCTATTAAAGATCACTACAAATATAACATTTAATGGGGAAGCATCTTTCCAAATGTTGATTGTTTTAGCACCTTAGCATCTGCAGAGATGAATAAAAATCCATTTTAGTTTTTAATATTCTGACACAAAGTTGCATCTCAATTATTTTATCTTGGTTCTGCCATGCCTTAAACTTTATACTGATGCACACATTACTTTGTCTGAACTCAGAGTAAATTTGGGGTGAAAATTTGTTTATTTTTGCCTTCAGGTAATTCGGAAAGGTGAACTTTAAATTGATGAGTGTTTTACAGTTATATCAAGTGTGGATTAAATTAAAAAAAAGATTTTTTCTTGTAGCATTTTATTTGTAAATCTTTCTCACATATTTCAGACTATTAAAATGTGTATTCAATGTACCTTGAAGCAGCGCATTGATGAATGCAGTAATGCAGTGGAGAGAGAAGCTATAGAGACTCTTTTATCAATAGGCAATGTTCTCAATTCTAAAGACTACTGTGAAGTGTACAAGGCACGTCAAACAGCTTCTATGAAGACATGCAGAGAACCAGCTCCTTCACCGAAAAAAGAATCTAAACTTGCAATGGTAGGTTCATACATGTACATATTTGTGGCCACATTACAGGAAAAGCCCTGGATTTCTCCAATGAAGAAACATAATTGTTGTTTAACCATATTCTTTAAATAATTTTTTAATGGTAAGCTTAAAATAATTCCCTCAAGATGACCAATCCAAATTCATTTCAGTGATTTTCCTGCCTTTATTTTAGGGCCGAAAATATCGGCCCTGTTCCCAATCAGAAAATACCTGAAATTTTCCAAATTGAACCCGTAAAATTCCCAATTCAATCAAGTTGTAGCGTAAAGGTAATTGATAATTTTATTGTGTGTATGATTTGGTTCAAAATATAGGTTGTTGTACTGTTCCCGAAGAAAATCATGTCGAATATAGACAGGTAACTATCATATTTCGTAAACCAGTTTTTACAATGGGTGAGCTTAGTTCAGCATTTGGATGACGTCCTGTGGTTAACGGTAAGAATTTGGAATGGTATGAAGTGATGGTGCTGTGTTATTATCTGAGTAACATTGTAAATATATGCCAACATGAAAAACTAAAAGGTTTTCATTATTTTCTAATATAAAGTAAATTTTTACTATATGTTTTTTACGGCAATGTCTTACTAAGCAAAGATATGCTGGTCTGGTTTATTTTTTCGCTGTGAATTGAGCATGCCCAAACAGACAACATGATTATCCTCCTCTCATAGTTCAAAATATTAGGTTCGCAAATTAAAAAGGCAAAGATGCCAATGATTGTAAAAAACTTGATATGTTTGGCTTTGAAAAATCCTAAATTAGTACTGATACTACAGGAACTGATATCTTGAACGAAAATGTTTCTACTTTTACGGATGTTGAACAGGATGAAGCCGTGATTGTGGAGGATTAAGGCACTAAAGCAGTCACCTCAGACCCTAGTACTGGCTCTGAACAAATTGTTTCTACACAAACACATGAGCAAAGTTCACTTGAAATGAACTCTGCTCCTATACAAAGTGAAACTGACCGTCAATCCCACTCCGAGTGCGACCCTCAAGTTGATTCTATTCCTTTCTGGTGTGCAAAATGTTATTCATGCACACCAGAGAGGAATAGACTGATACAGGATCACCTGGGTGCCATAATGAGGATTTTTCAAATTAGACCATGAAAGAAAATTGGAATTTTAAAATAATAAATAACATCATTAAAATATATAAAACACAATGATTTATTTCTTCCCAATTCATATGTTATACGACACATTTTTCCCAATTGCCTAGGGCCCAGGGCCAATTTGAAAAAGGTTAGGAAAATCACTGCATTTTATACCAAAAAATTATTCAAAATTACTCTTGAATGACATTTATTTACAAAACAAAATGTTATACTTCACTGAGAAATACAACTGTTATACTCCATGCCAGATGCACTGTGTTTGAGGGTAGTTAATCAGATTGTAATCATTTCCAATCACCTGTTCCACTATTATTCACTCAACACTAAGAGTGATTTTTTAAGACAGAGGCGAAAGATACCAGAGGGACATTCAAACTCATAAGTCGAAAATAAACAGACAATGTATTGGCTAAAAAAGAAAAAGACCAACAGACAAACAATAGTACACAAAACACAACATATAAAACTAAAGACTGAGCAACACGAACCCCACCAAAAACTGGGGGTGATCTCAGGTGCTCGGGAAGGGTAAACAGATCCTGCTCCACATGTGGCACCCGTCGTGTTGCTCATGTTTAACTGAATCATCTTCTGTGTACTGTATTTACATACTAAGCCAATGCAACAAACGTTTTTAGGGTGTAATGATTTCTAAAATAATTTTGATAGATTGTTAGCAAAGGAATCTGTAGATAGTTGAAATGTTTTAATTGTTTGCTTTCAGCTTTTGAAGGAAGGTAAAATAAATGACAATGAACTTCCATTTGATCGTCCAAGTCTTGTACCAAAAATAGTGAACAGTGCCATTAGTGAGAATACCAAGACATCTGAGCTGACAAACAATGGATATGCATTGAATTCTCAGTCAGTCCTCAACAACAACATTTTAAGGAATAGTCCACTTAACATTAATACATTGAGTACTAATCTACCCCAAAAAACAACTGTCATCAATAATTCATCACAGCCACTTGTTCAGGTCATTCTCATTAATAACAATACAGTACAGCCACTGCAGCAAGCCATGACATGTAAGGCCTGGTTAGATAAACTTTGTCCCATTGCACCAGCTCCACCTCCAGGAAACATGACTGTGGATGATATCATTAATTCTAACAATGGAAGAAGAAGGAATTATGCATGTACATATGATAATTGTGGGAAAACATACTTCAAGAGTTCACATCTCAAAGCTCACCTTCGAACACACACAGGTAAATAAGTTTTTATTACATGCACCTTTAGTAGCTTGCACTAAAAATACATGTACATGTACCTATTAAATCAAGTAAGAAGAAATTCAGTCAGTCTTATGATACCTTCATAATAATTAATCCCCTACCAACAAAGTCGAATGGGACTTTAGGTTTGCACTCTGTCCGTCTGTCTGTCCATTTGTCAGTCCGGCAAATCAGTTTTCCACACTTCTCTTCTTCTTGCTTGAAGATATTGATTTGATATTTGGTATATAGTTTTATCATGACAAGGTACAGATCAAGTTCAAATTTTGTTCCTGTCTGATGATTTTTATGCAGGATTATGGTCCTTGGACTTGGAAAATTCACTCGAATAATCAGTTTTCCACACATTTTTTTTTTGTCATGCTTGAAGATATTGATTTGATAATTGGTACATAGTTTTATCATGACAAGTTATAGATCAAGTTCAAATTTTGTTCTGATGATTTTGTGCAGAATTATGGTCCTTGGACTTGGAAAATTCACTCAAATAATCAGTTTTCCACACTTTTTTTCGTCATGCTTGAAGATATTGATTTGATAATTGGTACATAGTTCTATCATGACAAGTTACAGATCAAGTTCAAATTTTGTTCTGATGATTTTGTGTAGAATTATGGTCCTTGGACTTGGAACACTCAAATAATCAGTTTCCACACTTTTTTTCATCATGCTTGAAGATATTGACTTGATATTTATTATATAGTTTACACTATAACAAGTTATTGATCAAGTCAGCATTTTGTACCAGTACAATGAATTTTTAAGCGGCAGGGGACTATGTATTGCCATGCAATACTCTCGGAATGCTTGTTTTGGTGATTTTGTGTTCACAGTGATGGGGAAATACTCTACGTAATATTTGTAAGAAGTCTCCTGATTGATCTTTTTAAGTTACAGATTATATGTAATGAAAGCCTAAGGCTAGATACTTATTTAATGTCTTTACATCATTGGTGATTATTAGTTTTGTTAATTGTCAGTTTAAAGTAAATTATTTTGTGCAGATCCTTAAAATAGGAGGCTATAATACTCACATTGAAAATCAAACTTTTTTGAAATATGAATGTATAAATTTAGTATATAAAACCAGTATGGTATTTTGATATTTGTTTATCTTTCAGTAGTAAATGAATGCAATATATGTTATAATTTTAGGAGAGAAGCCATTTGTGTGTGATTGGGAATCCTGCAATAGAAAATTTGCAAGGTCAGATGAACGTTCACGACATAGACGAACACACACAGGAGAGAAAAAATTTACATGCGAACACTGTGAAAGGCGATTTATGAGAAGTGATCATTTGGCTAAACATTTACGTAGACATGCAAGTAAAAAAGGATCATTATCATCAGACAATAGTTCTGCTTCACTTATGTCATGGGCATCATCTAGATCGTCGACCAGGACATGGCATTCATCTGTATCAGAGGAAAGTTCAGGGTCATGGCAAAATGATGAGGATAGGTCAGATGATAACCAATCAGTTGACTCGTATGATTCCTCATCTGTAGGAAGTGGGTGTGGTGACATAATTGTAACTCCCATGGAAGTGACTGTGTAGAAATGATCATTTATGTGTTTATAATTATCCCAGTGAAAACAAGCAATATTTTTTGTAATTATTTCTGAATATATATGTGTATGTTTGATTATGTTTACATAATTTCTTTGAAAAATTAATTTGTTGGAAACAAAACTAAAAACTCATACTAATTTATGGCATATATGCCCATGACAGAGAATATGGGCATGTTTTATTTAACATTTATGTAAATGTTCATGTGCTTTCTTTGGTGTTTCAATTGATGACAAGGCTAGCAACATCAAGTGATTTGATATTTAAAAAGTTAGAAATAAATTCCTGTTCATGTTCAGGTAATGATGTATTGCCTTAGGCAAGTAACAGTTTTGTCAATTGACTGATAGCATATCAAACAACATTGTCATAAATGTTAATTGCTGAGAATTATTTAAGGTAAAATCTTGTATTGGATCTTTATAAAACATTTGAATCAATTTTTTGTAATTATAAATATACATTGTAAAATGTTATATCTTCAAAAATGAAATGCTACATTTTAGAGGCATTGATATTAAAGGGTTTACATTGTACCTGTCTCAGGTTTAAAAATAAATGAACTTCCTGTAAGTATCCATTAAAATGATTAATTGGAAAAGAACCAATATACATATATTAAATGAATAGTACTTTCATTGCTCTTTTAAAAATTTGTATTTGGAAATTTCTACACTAGAACTGAATCCTCAATAGATTTATTAAAGGACCAAGTGAGTATATCAGAAAAAAAATTCTGTTCGCCATTGATGTACTAAAAAGTCTAAGCATGAAAGTTTTTTTGTACTTTTACCTAGACTAAATGGAATAAGTTTTTGAGTAAGATGTCTGTGTATGCAAGGTTGTTAGATGGTTGTATATTATATAATTATATTTTAAAATATTTTGTTACAAATACTGTAGTCAACATCATCAGATCATATTCTAAAGCTTGAATTTAAAGAATGTTTATACCCTGAAGTATACAAAGCTGAAGCCATAATGTTTATTTGAGTCCAACACAAATGGCAATGAAGTTAAATCTGAATCAAAGAAAACTATGGCCTTTTTTACGTCAAATTTACAGTTTCATGACCTTATCTCAAATTTGGAAAGATTAATTTTTTAGGACATTTTTTGTGTAAAATTTCTAATGGCCACCGACATATCTCTTCTTTTGACTTAATGTGTATTTTTTACTTATATTATAATTTTTGTTATGTGATTTTCATATTAATTGATGATTGATGGTGCTATCATATCCTTTTCATTTCTTTTTCAGAGATGTGTTCTTTAAATTTGAATTTAATGTGTGCATTAATTGTTGCATTCTTCGACAGGTGATAAAAATGCCTGATTAATTAATGTTATTCCTGTACATGTTAATGTAAAGGAATTATCAGCAAAAATCCAAATTTAAGTTTGAGATGTCAGTCCATTCACAAGTTTCCCAATATGAAAACATGTAATTTTCTGGAATTTCTGAATTTACAGAAACTATATTTAATAAAAAAGATCTTGTATTATGTTTTCAATACATGATGAGTTATGGTGTGCCAGAAAAGACATTACTTATGAAGTACTCCATTATGTTTTAAGATGTTAACATATTATTGTATGAACGTTATACAAATGTTTTCTTAAAACTCAGGAACTTATTCAAAAGTTCAATTTTCATTTGTTTAATGTCTACAAAGAATTTTGTGAAGCAAGACGATATAAGATAAAGCATCCATCCATTTCCAGTCCCTCTGAATCTAATCATTGTCATGTTATTATGTTTTTTCTGTAAGGTGTCTTAATGAAGTGTCGATCTTGTTTCCTGCCTTCCTACCAACCCCAATGCATTAATTGGACATTTTTGGTTCAGTTCCCTAGAAGTCCAGAAAATTTTCCTATGTAGTTTATGTAAAATAGTTTTAGAAGTAAAATCATTTTTAATTTTTTACGTACCTACCTTATTAATTTCTGCCAGGAGGCAGGGAACAGGCATATATAGTGTATACTTATAAAGAATAACACATATTGTATTATCATTTGATTATTATAACATTTTTAAGAAGTTCTGGAAAAAATTCAAAGTAATTTATTCAAGTAGTGTGGCAGTTTATATAAATTTTGTTTTAAATTTGGTGGAAAATAGGGAAGACATATCTTGGCATTCACAGTTTTTTTTTGATGTTTTCTTAAGATCTTTTCCTAGTTTCAATTTTTATTTTGATCTGATAATTCTGCTCCCAAGTTACTTAGAGAACAAAACACATCATATTTATAACATATTCTTACTTTTGCTGTATTCATGATCATATCAATGCAATGATTTTAGATTTAGGTCCCATGTTATATGGTCTCGTGTTCATGTTAATTTTTATTGTGTGTTTGTGAAAGATATATGTTATTTATTAATTTGATGCAATGCAAACTTATTTATTTATTTCTTTAATTAAATTGATTACATTTTTACCAGTTTTTTGTTGTATATTTAGCCTTAATACCTCTCTAAAATTACTCGTGCATATTTTCCAAAGAAGTATGTATATAATTTCACATTGTAGCATAAAAATTTTAAAAACTCCCCAGTCCTTATGATTTGCTAATCAAAAATAATTACAGAGAGATATGGTTGAATGCATTCAAAGGTCAAACCCAGCAGCTTCCTGTAAACATGTTAAATATGAACGATTGCACAACCTCTTACATTGTTGAAGTGAAAACGTGATGTACCAATATTTAAACATCTGAAAAAAGGAGTCCCAGAGGATAAAACACAAATCTTACAAGACTGAAGAATAACCATAATGTTAAATAATTCCACTTGAAGAACACAATAGAAGTCTCAAAACTGGTTGCTCACAGTCTTGTTAAGGTTATAATCACAGGTAGTCCATCAAATCTAGCAGGAGTTGGAAATCTGTACTAAATATCTCTGAACTTTTGTGAGAGCATTTCGGTACTGTAAAAGGATGAATTAAAGGGAAAACACTCTGTTAGTCAAATCTTAAATCCAAAAAAATGCGCAGTAATAAGCTGAAGTAAAAAAATGTCACAAAATTTGTCTAAAATATTCTTCATGTCATACTGGTTAAACATGTTCAAAACAGCTGCAGATATTGAAGGAAAAAGACATTCACCTCTGAATTAAACTGGATTATACTATAGTATTATATGTCTCTGCCACTGGTACCATGTAGAAAGCCAGAAATTGAAGTTTAACATTAATTTTATATGTTTGGATATGTCAAATTCTTAAAGAAATATGTTTCAAAAAATGCCAGAAAGTAATCCTAAAAAAGTTGGATGGTTTTCCATAAAGAAAAGAACTACCGGTATTCGGTTTCAGATTTTAAGGTAGCTACCTTGAACCACATTCCATCTTTCTTAATTGGTTATTCTAGTAAGCTTGCAGAAAATCTCTTCCTGAAGTCTTGAAAAAAATTCTTTCAAATATTGCATTTCATTGTTATACAGACAGTGGATTTCTACTCAGTAGTCGGCTTCCTCAGCTTGAAAGGAATCTTATCAATGACTTGCGCAACAGTTAAACTGGAATGTACAGCAGGCCTAGGTCACGTACGGCTGACAACGGATGAATTAAATGAGCCTAGCAACCGTTTAACTGCCATGTACAGCAGGTCACCTAAGCCCGACAACGGATAAATTAAATGAGCCAATCAACAGTTTAACTGCCATCACGGTACAGCAGGCCTAGGTCATGTACGCCCGACAACGGGTAAATATTCCTCTACTGAGGAATTTGAAGGGGCATTAGCTGTCAAATTCATGTTCACCGATTTGACTCAAATTCTCATATTTGATTTATAACATACTAAAACGTATATCCAAGTTATAAAAAGTCTGAAATAAACAATTTACAATGCATGGGCTCGATAATATGGATCAGCTTTTCGTGTGTATTTTAGTCCAGACGCCATCTAATTAACCATCAAGGTGACCTCCGAAGACTGCAGACGGTCATATAACCCGAAGTAAGCATAAATATAGTTATAAATAGATAGCGAACTCGTGCAATTGGATTTTTCTCTGTCTATTTGATTTCATATCATAGGTTACAAATATATGTTAATCATTGTGTTTACCTGTATAAGAATGAGTTTTAGTGGAGCGAATCAGTCAATCAAATGATTTACCCTTGTTTCACTTTCAATGTTGACATTATTTTCTTTTTAATAACTGAACACGCCTAATTCATGCGTAACCCAACTCTAGCTAAGAGGTTAAATTGAAGGTCACATGCATGATGCATACGGATTCAATAAGGTCGAATTATTCACTTGCAAGTGAAAAATTAATCACCGATGTTACTTGCTGATTTTGACAAAATTGAACCAAAATGGAATTTGTGGACGACATCACCAACAACATGAGTGCAGGTAAACAAACAGACGTACTGATTATGGATTTCTCTAAAGCTTTCGACAAGTTTAGTCACAGTCTCCTCGTACAATGATAAACTCGAACACTATGGAATCAGAGGAAATGTCAATAGGTGGATTGCTCGCTTCCTGTCACATCGGACTCGAGCAGTAGTAGGGGATGGAGAGAGCTCAGCACATATTGATGTAGAGTCTGGGGTACCCCAAGGTTCAGTCCTTGGGCCTTCACTATTCTTGTTCTACATCAACGACATGCCCGATGGAATTAAAGCCACTATCCGTCTTTTCCCAGATGACACTATAGCATACCTCACAATATCAAACGACAAAGATTCGAACGATCTACAAAAGATCTAGATAAACTAGCTAAATTGGAAACCAAATGAAAAATGGCCTTCTACCCAGACAAGTGCAATGTACTTACCATCAGCCGGAAAAATAATACCATGGCAACATCCTAAAATCTACATGGTCACACTATCGAACCTGTCAAAAGTGCCAAATACCTAGACTGCACATTCACATCCGAACTGAAATGGAATGACCATGTCAATAACATATGATAATGTAACGAAGCCAATAGAACAATCGGCTTCTTAAAACAAAATCTGAATATTGGATCTACTTCTGTAAAGGAAAATGCGTATAAAACACTTGTAAGACCTATAACAGAATACGCTAGTCCAGTATGGGATCCATACTATAATATAGAGATTGACCGACTAGAGATGGTGCGGACAGAAGTAGAAGCCAAGCAACAGTTTAACTGCCATGTACAGCAGGTCTCGTGCGCCCGACAACGGATGAATTAAATGAACCAAACCAGTTTAACTGCCATGTACAGCAGGCCTAGGTCACGTACGCCCAACAAGGAGCCAAACAACAGTTTAACTGCTATGTACAGCTGGTCTAGGTCACGTACGCCCGACAAGGAGCCAGGCAACAGTTTAACTGCCATGTACAAGCAGGTCACGTACGCCCGACAACGGATAAATTTATGAGCCCACTAGACGGAGGTTGGGCTTGGGACCGTTTTCTTTCTTTTTTTTTTCTTTTCTCTTACTGTTTGTCTTCTTTCAAATTGTTTCTCATCGTCTCTGCTATTATATATTAAACTGTCTCTTGTCCTTTTGCCCATCGCTTCATTCTACCGTTCTGCGTCTACCTTATCTGACCAAGATGTTCGATTCAAATATTTTATCTATTCACTTTCATAACACTTGTTTTAAGGTCAAGTTATACGTTAAAATTCAGTTATTTGTACTACATTATAACAAACGGTTTATCAAGTATATGTAAAATATTTCCTTGTAGTCTACCGTGACTTCGTCATTTCCTATAGGATCTCTCAAAGAATTAATCATTGTCCAGTAATCTTGTGCATATCGTTGATGATTATGTCCGGAATCTACCTTGCCAGACCAAATGTTCTTTCTTGCTCTGTTCGATCCTGGAAAAATTAAGAGTTCAAATATTGTGCATATGCATATGCACCAGAAGAGGTGATATTGTTATAGGAAAAAGCCACTGCCGGAGATAATGTCACGCATCTAATTTGTCCCAGATAAAGTAGAGAAAGTTCAGCATATAGTCTGTACACATTGTTATTTCGAAAACAATAATCTACTGTTGTCTAGTGTTATGGTTTTAAAATTCGGTATTTTTTTTACATTCACTTTTTATTTGATTTAATAAATAAAAGAATGTTACCATTTGTAAAAAAAAAATGGATGATAGTCGATTCATTTTTCTGCCGTTATTTTGGTTGGTACCAATATAGTAGTTATATCGAGAACGAAATTTACCAGAGTAATGGATAATGTAAGCTAACTAGTATCTTGAATATCTAGCGTATCAAGCAGAACCATTCGTTGGACATCTAGTTTCAAAATTATGTCAAATGATCTGTCTGACCGCGAAAACGTCAGATAGTTTATTGACATTTTCCTACTACAAAAGTCTCTTACAACTCATCACTAAAATTAATGTATCGTTCATAGGAAGGTTCTCTATGGGAATAATGTCATATAACCAATAATTGTGTTTACCGTGGTTACTCGACCTTTTGAAAGAATCCTACGATATTTTAAATCAAAGGTCTGAAAAATTCTAAGTTCCTGTAGAAGTTGAGGGTTGTTCAGTGTCGCATTTGGTTGTTCGCATGTTAGCATTTTTTTCTTTCTATGCTTTTGATTCACTGTTGAACGTATATTTATATATATTTATATATGTGTGTAGTTCATGATGTTCAAACTGCTTTTTTCTTTTCTTTGTATGTATACTAGACTATTGTTGTTTATTTTTGTTATTGTCTTATATTAATGTCTTATGTTGTATTATGCTCCTTGTGAGCCCATTTAATGGAAATAAAACATCTTCTTCTTCTTCTATTCAATATCGAGCTTGTACAAAACAGAATAAATTCATATCACATTAAAATTTTCGCTTCCTGAATAGGCACGTAATAACCATATCGTAAAAAATGAATAACCATAATTAACAACCCTCTTTCGTTCGCTTTGCATGGTCATGTTACATACTTTCATATTTCTTAAGGTGATTTTTTATGTTTCAATTTTTCCTTTCGTAATTGATATATATAACTTGCGATATGAAAGTTGTTGAAAGAAAATGTATATTGACCTATTCATGGTGATGACAACGACGTCATTCAAATAGTAAAATATTTTAAGGTGAATCAGTGGTAAGCCCCAGGTGACAGTAAGTAAGTAAATAGGTGACACATGTGATTTACATACACCTTCATAACACTCTTTATAATATTTACAACCACTCTAATAATTACGAAACCTCATTTGCAACGTTTTATATCCATTACGATGTGCTATAAGAGAATTCTGGTTTAAAATGTCTTTTATACTTGAAAATCTGACATTAGTACAAAAATAAACAAGTGCCGCAAAAAAAGGCGGGCCTTAATTTGTTGATAGAAGAAGTGATAAGTAGTTTTTCTAATTCTATGTAACGATGCAATTTTCGACTTTTAAAACATTCTGTGTTTTTCAGTTTTACTAAATATAGTTTTGATTAAAAGTCTAAATCATTTTA